GATGATCATCGGAGGGGACGGCTACTGCGGTTGGGCCACAGCCNTGCACCTTTCGGGTGGGCGGATTGCGGCAGCAGGGGGCACCCGCTGCGCCCTGCCCGCCCCTCTCCCTTTGCCGCCTCGTGCCTGAGTGCTGCTGTGCTCCTCTCCTGCCGGCCTCCCCGCTTGTCCTGCCGCACTCCTCTGGACCCCGTCCCTACCACCGCCTGTATCACTGTGATCTGCCTGTACCACCTGTACCGCCATGCCGCACCGCACCGTACGCGGGTCCCGGCCACGCCGCGCGCTCCGTGCACCGCCCTCCCCCCTTGCTGCGCCGCTCACCACCTGCACTGCTTGTATCGCCTGTACTGCCGTACCGCAGCGCGAGGCTACGCCGTGTGCATCGTCGACAACCTGGTGCGCCGCTCTTACGACCTGCAGCTGGGCCTGGACACCCTCACCCCCATCGCCTCCGCCCACGAGCGCGTGCGCAAGTGAGTGTGCGCGCCTAAGTGGGCACGTGTGGGGGAGGGCGCGGCTGGGGGTAGGGGGGCACCCTCACCCCCACGGCTGGGGGCAGGGGGCCACCCTCACCTCCATCGCCAGCGGCGAGGAAAGCCACAAAAGCCATGAGTGTGTGTGCCAGTGAGCTGATGTAGGGGGGGAAGGGGCGTGGATGGGGTGGGGAGTGTGGTGGTGGGGCGCACTGGCCGCCTGGCTCCTCGCCTGGGCCTGGAAGAAAGAAGGTCACCTCTGTCGCATGCTGCCGCCTCCGCTGCCACGCCGTCCGCCCCCGGCGCGCACACATCGGTGCTTTGTACAGGTCGATAGCGTGGCTGGGAATGTGAGACCCCCGTTTATGCCTGGTGCGGTGCAGGTGGGGCGAGGTGTCTGGCAAGCACATTGACCTGCAGGTCGGAGACATCTGTGACTGGGAGTTCCTGAGCCAGGCTGTCACGGTGGGTGGTTGGTTGGTTGGTTGGTTGGGTGGGTGGGTGGGGGGTTGCACCTGGGGCCTGCAACATAGCTGCCTCTCCTGCTCCCTCCCGCAACTGACTGCGACGGGGGATGCCGCAGCCGTGTGGGAGCTCCTCGGCCGGGCAGTCCTGGCAGGCAGGAGGCCAGCCGCCAGCCAGCGGGCGCGGCCAGCAGCGGAGCAGCCGTCCAGCCAGCGTGCGAGGGCTGCTGGCGCTCCCGCGAACCTCACCCACCCGCCGCCCCGCTGCCCCCGTCCGCCCCCGACTGCCCCGCAGAGCTTCCGCCCCGACTCTGTGGTCCACTTTGGGGAGCAGCGCTCTGCCCCCTACTCCATGATCAACCGCCAGCACGCCGTCTACACCCAGACCAACAACGTGATGGGCACCATCAACATGCTGTACGCCATCAAGGTACCGCGCACTGCCGCCTTGCGTACCGCCTCTGCTGCCTGGTAGTGCATTCGTACCTGCTACTGCTTTCCGTTGGCTGGCTGTGCCGCTGTGTCGGCCGGGACCGTTGGCTTCTGGCCTGGTGCTGCCTGGTGTGGCGTGGGCGCCAGCGCCCGCTGCACGTGGGCGCCTGGAACAGCACAGGATGGATGGGGGAGATGTATGCTTCTGTGGGGATGGGCTGCCGGTGGAATGGCTGCTGCCGCCTCTCCTCGCCATCCCTCCTCTGGTCACCAGGCTGCCTCTGGGTGCACCGCTTGCTGCCCAGCCGTCGCCCCTTCGCTCACTGTCCCGCCGCCGTGTGCGCCTGCCTGCCTCCCTCTGTGCCTGCAGGAACTGTGCCCTGACTGCCACATGGTGAAGCTGGGGACGATGGGGGAGTATGGTGAGCGCGCAGCGCAGTGCAGCGCAGACCACAGCATGCATGGCATGCATGGCATGCGCACAGCGTGGGCCGCAGCGTAGCGCAGCGCAGCGCCGCGCAGCGGGCAGGCGGGGGCACAGCACAGGAGGCAGCATGGCACGTGGCCCAGCGCCAGCTCGCCGGGCCGCGCGCTCCTCTCCTTCCACCCCCCACCCCCACCTCCCACCCCCTCCTGTCGCCGCCAGCGTCTTCCAGCAGTAGCGGGCACACCGGCCGACACGCGCCCTGCCACCGAGCACCCGTACCGCCCCCACCCCGTCTTGTACCGCAGGCACCCCCAACATCGACATCGAGGAGGGCTACATCACCATCAACCACAATGGACGCTCCGACACGCTGCCCTACCCCAAGCAGGTGCGGGGTCTGGACTGCGGCAGGTGTCCGGCGTCGAGAGCGGCGGCCAAATTAGTCCGTACCGGCGGGCAGGCAGCAGCGAGCGCGGGTTGCTCGCCCCCCCACAGCCCCAACCCTTGCCCCAGCTTCTTGGCAGCTACCCACATGCATACTGCTCCTTGCACCCGTGCGGCCCACTTCTCACTGCCGTCCGGTACCGCCATCTGCTGTACCACGCCCCATACCTTCAGGGCGGCTCCTTCTACCACCTGTCCAAGGTGCACGACTCGCACAACATGCACTTTGCGGCGCGCGCCTGGAAGCTGGCCATCACAGATCTCAACCAGGTGGGCTGGGTGGGTGTGTCTGTGTTTGTGTTGGGGGGGTGTCCGCTGGAGGGATTGTGTGCGCACGCGCGCGCGTGTGTGTGTGTGTGTGTGTGTGTGTTGGTTGTTGGTGGGGCTGGCGGAAGCGGAGTGGAGATGCTGGCGGTGCCTGGAAGCCGGCCATCACAGTTCGGACAGATCTGACCCAGGCGGGACTGGGTGTGTAATGGCGGCTGGCCGAGGCTGTTGGCTGCCATCGGCCACAGTGCGCCGGCAGCCGTCGCCGCTCTACCCCCGCAAACCCGCCTGGGCCCTCCTCTGCGCCACCGTCGCTCCTCCTCCTGGGCTGCCTGCCTCGCGCGCAGGGCGTGGTGTACGGGGTGCGCACCGAGGAGACAATGGCGGACAAGGCGCTGATCAACCGATACGACTACGATGGTATCTTTGGCACGGGTGGGTGTGTGGGGCACAGTGCCAGGCGGGAGGGTATGCCGGCTTGAGGGCTGGAGGGCTTGCATGCTGGATGGTTGGAGGGCCTGCATGCTGGAGGGCCTCAAGGGCTTGCAGCTGTAGCTGCGCGGCTCTCTCGTCCCCCGGACACAATCCCGGCGTGCCAGCGCCGCGCCCCGCTCCGCCTTGCCTGCCACCAGGCCTCACCCTCGCCCCTCGGCGCTCCTCTGACCCCACCCCCACCCCCACCCCCACCCCGCCCCTGCAGCCCTCAACCGGTTTGTGGTGCAGGCGGCGGTGGGCCACCCGCTCACCGTGTACGGCAAGGGTGGGCAGACGCGCGGCTTCCTGGACATCCGCGACACCGTGCGCTGCATCCAGGTGGGGTGGGGTTATGTGTGTTGTTGGTGTGTGTGCGCCAGGGCCCCGCAT